TTTAATATAAAGAAGTCCAATTCACAAAACTGAAAAAATGCGGCAGTCTTTTAGTTACACTGTTATGTTGGGGGAGAGAGTTGGTTTATCCACTGGTCTGTTGATGGTACATAGAAGAGAGGTAGGTAGTTATCTGCAGGGCAGAGAATAAACAGACACACTGTGAAATGACAAGCTCAAAGGCCTGTGGGTCAGCCGTTTTCACCATGTAAAGGGCTGAAGGTTACCATGGGGCTGGGTGTCTAAAGTTTTCAGGACAGACACATATTGCTGGGACCAAAGACAGGAGCAGATGCAGATATCTGGGGATGAAAGCAGTGTTGCTGATGACAGGACTGGCCCACGAGAGCTGCCATCTGAATGCTTCAAGAGATGGTGGGACTCTGCAAACCCAGAAGCCCAAGCACACAGCTTTTTTGCAATAAGAATGAAATTTGCCAGGTGCTTGAACAGCCCTTTCTGGTTTTCATTCTGCACATCTAGCTCTTAATCCCATGTTCCAGCGTATCTTTTTTTAAATTTATTTGGCTGCACTGGGTCTTTGCTGCAGCACACGGGATCTTTAGTCATAATGTGAACACTTAGTTGTGGCCTGTGGGATCTGGTTCCCTGACCAGGGCTTGAACCTGGCCTCCCCGCATTGGGAGCACAGGGTCTTAGCCACTGGACCACCAAGCTGTCCTCCAGCATTTCTTTCTACTTCTTGATCGTATAGAGACTCATGTTTTCTCCAAATGGGAAACTGAGATAGATCAAAGATGAGAAGAAAATCATGTTTCAAGGAGCATTCAGGATAGAGCTTTAGCAGATCCTCAAAGAATAGACAACTAGTTTATAAGTGAGCTTTTTCATCCAATAGACCAATAACACAAGTGTATCAGCCTTAGGTGAGGCAGTAGGGAGTCATTACCAGACCGACTTGCCATATTCATTTCCTAATACTGCAAGCAAGGGGAGACCTCCATCCTCTTGGGGACAGAGAGGGCAGACCTGGTCAGACCTCTGGCCTAGTGCTGGCTGGCACCCTGCAGGCCAGCCTCTTGGTGAACTCTGCCTGGAACCTAGACCTCCCACACCAGATGGTCCTCCAGTGAGGCTGGGCCCTGGTTTTGCCCATACCCGAAGCCCTGACACCTTGTCCCCAAGCTGCGGCACCTCCTCAGTCCTGCCTCAGACCTCAGCCTTGACACTCTCTCCTCTGGTTAGACCACCTGGGTCTCCATTCTGCTGCCTCAAGCCCAGAGCCTCGTCCTCCCTCCAGTTCCTCAAGAGTCATACAGACTTGGGACTAAATCTCAGCTCACACATCTGAGCATGTTAACTCATTAGCAATACAAAGATAGTAATGATATCCACCTCACAGCCTGTTCAAGCTGACACATATTAGGGACTCAAGTTAGGGTTAAGTTAAGGGCTACGTATTCTGAAAGTTATATGCAAAATATTGTGGATAAGTGTATTTTTCTGGAAAGAGAATTTTTTGTGTGGGGGCAGGAAGCAGGGGGGCAGCCAAAGGGATTTGTGACTTAGAGATGTTAAATCACCACCATTGAGTTCCACACCATACAGTATAAACCAACACTTGATGGGGGAAAATAATTGTCAGAGAGATGAGGCTGTGCTTAGGAATTCAAGCATATCATCTTGCTGCACAGCAAAAACTGTCAAAATCCTCCCCTGGAGTTATTAAAGCCAGTAAAGAAAGCTAATAATTCAGTTACACATCAGCAAAACTCTAGGTATACTTCACAGCATTCTAACTCTTAAAAAAAACCCCAATCAAGAGAGAACCTTTAAAACTATATAATCTATCTCTTCTGAAATGGATCTCCATCTCTTATATACAAAAGACTTTCCTTCTCTCTGCTCAACTCCTGGAGTACCCAGCCCCCTGATGCTACCAGGTTAGAACCTTGCTTCTACCATCTGCTGCACACACACTGTGCGCACTCATTTTGCACCTTCTACCCACTTATCATTTGAAAAGACCCTGATGCTGGGAAAGGTTGAGGGCAGGAGGAGAAGGGGACGACAGAGGATGAGATGGTTGGCTGGCATCATCGACTCAATGGACATGGGTTTGGGTGGACTCCAGGAGTTGGTGATGGACAGGGGGGCCTGGCGTGCTGCGGTTCATGGGGTCACAAAGAGTCAGACACGACTGAGCAACTGAACTGAACTGAACCCACTTATCTCCCACAACCCCTCCTATCAGTAGGGAGATAAAAAATGACAGGGATGTAGGGCTTAAATCTATACCACGGTTAAGTTTATATTTTTTTAGAAGGCAGTTTGCCTTATTTTGTTAGTTTTTCTTTAAACAACAAAGCATTACAGCTAAAGTTCTGTTCCCAAACTTTTTCCCTTCTTTTCTCTTCCAGCAGTACCAACAAACCTGACATTGGTATATACATGTCCTTCCCATGAAAGTTTGTATATTTTTTCCATATGCTTGTATGCTCACAAATAAAACATATGATTGTGCTGTGGGTTTTAAAACTTTATATGCTATTATATTGTATTATGATTTTAATAAGATATAATTGAAACACTATAAAATTCACCCTCTCCAAGTCTACAGTTCAGTGTTTTCTTAGTATATTCATAAAGTTGTGAAACCACCAGACCTATCTCACTCCAGAACATTTTCCTCACCCCCAAAGAGACACCCGTGCCTATTAGTCATTACTCTCCACTCTCTTGCATTTTCCTCTCCTTTTGGCCACTGGCAGCCTCCAATCTGTCTCTACGGACTTGCCCACTCTAGACATTTCATGGAAATGTAATCATATAATATGTGATCTTTCATGTCTGCCTTATTTCACTTAACCCTGATTTTTAAAGATTCATCCATGTCTTAGCACGTGTCAATATGTCATTCCTTTTTATGACCAAATAAAATCTCATTGTATGGATATACTACCTTTTGTTTACCTGTTCATTAGTTGATGGATACTTCAGTTGCTTCCACTGTTTGGCTATTAAAAAGAAAGTTGCTATGAGCATTTCAGCATGAGTTTTTGTGTGAACATGTGTTTTCATTTGTCTTGGGTATATATTTAGGAGTGGAAGTGTTGGGTCATATGCTTAACTTTTGGGGAAACTGCCAAATTGTTTTCCAAAGCATCTTCCTAGCTTAACTCCATTCCAAATCTGTGGACCAACAGAGTTTCTTAGAGACTGAAGAGGAGCCCAACACACAAGAACAGTTTAGAGCAGAGGCTCAGATTAGCCGCACTGCTAATGACTTTAAGGGATAATAATGACAAGCAACCCAACACAGACATCACAGAAAATTATAGGATAAATGATGTTCTTACTAAGCATTAACACATGAAAAAATATGTAGCTATTGATATTTACTGGGCATTTTCCTCAGATGAGCTTCCCTTTCTTACCAGAAGGTGGCAGAGAGGGTGCAGTTTAAACTCCCACCTCCCTCATTTTTACAGGAAACTTTCTTTTTCTTTTTTTAAAGAATAAAACAATCACAATCTCCCAATTCATCCCACCTCCCCTTCCCCACTTGGTGTTCATACATTTGTTCCCTATGTCTGTGTCTCTATTTCTGTTTTGCAAATAAGATCATTGATACCATTTTTCTAGATTCCACTTACATGCAATACTATATAACACTTGTTTTTCTCTCTGACTTACTTCACTCTACATGACATAGCTAACTAATGAAAAACTACTATATAGCTCAGGGAACCCCACTCAGTGCTCTGTGGTGACCTAAATGGGAAGGAAATTCAAAAAAGAGGGGAAAATATACATACGTATATTGATTCACTTTGCTGTCAGTAAAAACTAACATAACATTGTAAAGCAACTACCCCCCAATAAAAATCAATTTAAAAAATAAAAGTAAGACAAATAACACTAGCAACTTACAGCTTTTAACCTTAGAAATACAGATTCTCAGGTCCTATTATTTACTATCATTTATTAGAAAATCATGCAAGTGTGACTAGGGAGAATCACTATTGATATCTATACCACATGGGTTAAATACAACATAAGCTATAAGAAAGAACTAATAAATATGTCTAAAAGTTATGAATAGATAAACCCACTCTAATTAGTATAAGCATTTTAAGGGCAACTGAAAAATAAAAATGTATACATGCCACAGATTGATGGGAATGATCACAATTTGCAACATGAAAGAAAATGTAATTTCAGAAAGCAGTATTCAAGTTTGTCAGTGTTATGATGCCCTCATCTATTAAATCAGAGACTGTATTAGATAATAGCCAAGGCCCCTTCTTCCACCGATACAGTCTATTTCCCATTTTAGAGAGGTGAGTAGGACAGACACGTGACTCACCTGCCATCATACACTAGGGTCACCATCTATATCTAAAAAGAAGAATCTCCATGAACAACTATGTGAGTTATGGCTTCTGCCCATAAGAAAACACAGTAAGTTCACTTCAGGCTTATTTAAAATGGCACACAACTCAAAATGAGGTGTTTATTTTGAAAAGGAAAGGACTCCTGATGAGTTCCTGGGGTCTGGTCTGTAGGGGTGGCTGCCAGGTAAAGAGAGACCAAACGGGCCCATTCCTAGGAAGGGCTGAAAGTGGGGCATGGGCGGGGGAGGTGGGGGGGAGGAGGCAGAAAAGGCCCCGAGAGAGTGAGAACTGCACAGGGTCCAAGAGGCTGCAGGAGTCTGGAGTGGTCAGAGACGGCCCACACACTGCTGGGGCCTGGCCGTAGAGTAAACCGCGACCAGTTTAATGGTGTTAGCTGCAGGCTTCCCTCCTGAAGACAGTGTCCGCTGAATCCAGTCCCTGACCTATGACCGCAAATAACACATCCCACTCCTTTCAGAGGCTTGTCCCCCACCAACCCCCGCCCACCACGAGTCTAATTGTGAACTATTACGGGGAAATAAGAAGTTTAGAAATAATGTTAAAAGTTGAGGTTTCTCTTAATAGAAGTCAGACCTATTTTGCAGAATCCTCTGCAGGTGTAGGGCCATAGAAATTCTAGATATGTGTGGCTTGGCAAACTGCTAAGTTCCGTTCTGCTTTCCTCCTTGCTGTGGCCAGAGAATGCTGGCCCTTCTACAATGGTGGGTGTGTTTCGCCAGAAAACTCACATATTTCCGGGTGGGGTCAGCTGGGCGGCTGGAGGGATCTTTCAAAAGTCCGGGTGAGGACTTCAAGCACTGCAGGGACTTACAAGGGGTGAAAACTAATACCGCGGGGTGAGCAAATTCCCACTGTCGGTGAAGCCGGAGGTGCCCTTCCAGAAACGTGACAGGTAAGCGACTGACTATCACAGGGAGGCAGAGCCTCAGAGCTGCAAGGCTGTGCTCTAGAATCCTGCCATCACATGCACCTTTTCTGTGGTACCCGGACCAGCAGTTAAGGGCTCCTCGGGTTACCCTGGGCTCTCTGGCCTTGGCGAGATTCATCTTAAGTGGCTGCAACTACAGGTACCCCCAAAGAATGTGGAAACCAGGCAAATACAGTTCTCTCCAGATAATTTAATCAATGCACAGTCAATAATAGGCGTATGCAAGGCCACCTTAAAACAGTAGATCTTCATTTTGAGGAGTTTATAATATTGATCTCAGTTTGGGGATGCACAGGCTCAGGTTAAGTCTTAAGAATCTGTGGTTTAAAGAGATAGAATGGCCCTAGATTAAGATGAGATCAGATGAAAATGTAGTTTTTCTTAAAGAAAAGGTAAATCAGTTAGAAAGAAGGTTTATCGGCTGTTGCAAACAGAGCAGAAAGAGCCCCCGAGGCATAGAATGGTGACACTTAGCCAAGGACAGTCCAGGACAGAGAGACTAGACCAGAGGAACTCGACATCCCCCCTTGCTGACTTGGCCTTCTCCAGCACAGCCTTGGCCAAGCTGAAGGACACAGCTAATGATTTCCCACACAGCTCCTCGCTCTGACTGTACTCTCTAGGCAATCACCTGCTAGAAGTTGGCCTTTTGTGCAGACCTGCCACAGGGATGGAGAGCTGTGGTCTGGCCAGTATGAACATACTGGCTACAGGGAAGTCGTGCTCATATCCTCCGAGCCCTCACTGAGAATGAGTAAACTGTACTCTATTTTACACACGAGCCTTACGAGCTGGTGTACACGCACTCTTGCAAGACAGATCTTCTGTCCGGGTGCTGAAAAATCAGATTTTTAAGCCCACAGGACTGTCTGAGCTACCAAAATGCTAGCTGGTGCCTCCTGGCCACCCTGGGCTGGCCTGTGCCCTCCCACTAGAAATGGCCACACTCACCTTTTACAGGACACTGTATGGTCACATTTGCTTGCAGGGGTGCCTCCACGAAGCTGCCAATCACAACAGAGAGATGGCCATGCTCTGGTCTGGTGATGTTTCTTCCAACAGACAAGACGACAGGTGCCTCTTAATTCAAAGGGAGCAGGAAACTCTGTTAGATTCAGGCTTTTGCTCTGAGTGACCTCACTGCACTTGGTAAGCTCTGCCAAGCTCCTGGAGAGCAGGTGCAGACTCCTGGCTCGGTGCACATCCCCCGTGGTGCCCCACGGGGACTTGCACACTCACAGGCTGCAGGGGCTCAATGGGTGGATGCACAGATGAGATATCTACAAAGAGGCAATGCAACCACCATGTACAGACTGTGAGGGTATTTTGGCTTTATAACCAAAACTGGGGATAAATTAAAGAATAAAATTAGGGGGTAAATTAGAGGATAAAATCCTCTTTGATCATTTGAAAAAGAAGGGTCAGAAATTCATTCAGAGAAAGGCATGGCAGAGCAGGAGTGACATCTCTGCAGTGCATCCTTGGATGAGTAAAGGCAGAACCAAAACAGACCAGGTCCCGGGACCATCTGACTCTCTTTCTGGAAGGAAAATGTGAATAAAACCTGCACAAAACTTGCATGGAAAAAAAAAATAAAAACAAGGTCATAAAGAATCAGGAACTCATTCACAGACTTTTACTTTCCTGGATTTTAAGAACCATGTACTTTTACCAGATTCATTTATGAAGTCATTCAGGAAATGTACTCTGTGCCTGGGCTGGACAATGGAAATACCAAGTTGGAACAGAAACATTCTTGTCCTCAATCAGCTCAGAGACTGGTGGGAGACACCACTACCATCACAGGGTGATGGGTGATGAGGTGGAGAAACGTGCTGGTTGCCCAGGGGTCTCTCAGGAGCATGTGGGGGTGAGGGAAGGCCACGTTCCTCTACCATAGAGCTGCTGCCGTATCTGGTTTCCCTCCTCCACCTTAGCATGGGAGCGTTTGGAGGGAGGGGCCGTGCTGGGCCTGCATCGCAGCGCACAGGCTTCTCCAACTGCGGCGCACAGGCTTCTCCGACTGTGGCACACAGGCTCGGTAGTTGCAGTGTGCGGCCTTAGTTTCCCAGAAGCAAGTGAGATCTTGGTTCCCCAACCAGGGATTCAACCCACATCCCCTGCATTGGAAGGCAGATTCCTAACCGATGGGCCACCAGGGAAGTTCTCACATATTTCTTTACTTTTTTTTTTTTTTTTAATCACTAATGCATAGCATATGAAAGAGTAACAACATTTAGCTGTTTGGTAACCATGCCTTCTGCAGAAGAGAATTTGGGAATGACCACGTTCAGGTGGCCAAATGTTCCATTTGTTCCTTGAGTGCCTGGGGCACTGAAACGGTATGCTGGGAGTTGAAAATACAGGGACTCTTGGGCTGAGAGAGGGCTGTCGTTGTCAGGTGTCCTCTGGCCCTTAAAGACCTTGCACCAGCTCTCCCATGAATCTGGGTTATCCTGGGATGGACTTAAGAGGAAACTTGCAAGCTGCAAGAGAGACTTCTGTTTCTCCCAACAATCCAGAACCTCAGAACTGAGGTTTTCTAGAAAGGAGCAGGTGCTCGCAGAGGATAATCACCCAGGAGGATCAAGGCACAGAAAATCAAGGTGTGAAGGCCCTACCATGGGAATGCAGCCAGGAGAGGGATGGGGCACCAAGCCATGCAGATCCAAAGAGCTTTGAAAATCAATTGGCCCCACCTCCTCAGGCAGGTTATAGATGTGATGGACTGCCTACATCAATGCTTGGCTGTCTAAATGCTGGGTTCCAATCCCTGATAATTGTCTTTCTCCTCATCTTATCTTAGTTATTTGAGCCATAGATACCAGAAACCACAGAGCAGAGAGTTGGAGGGTAACTTTCTTATTTGACTTTTGATCCCAGATCATGAGCCTGCCACAAGGAAGCATTGCTTACAACTTTGCCAGCTAAAAATGTTCCTTCATCAAAAAGCACACTTTAATATTAAAATGAGCTTGTCTACTTCCTGGGACAATTTACACTAATTTACAATGACAATTTCCTGAAAGTGTTTTTAAGGATTGGGCAGAGGAGTGCCATTGGGAGGCATGCATCAACCTTTAAAGGATAATTATCTCTTTCGTTGGATGGTGGCATTTTAAAAACAAAAAGTCAGCACAATTAACACCACCAATGAAACCCCATCTTGTTAATTTCCAATTCTTAGAAGGTAAACTCTAGAGCAGCTGTTTTCAAAGCGTGGTCCTTAGGCCAGCAGTGTCAGCATAACCTGGGAACACGTTAAAAAGGCACATTCTTGGACTTCCCCGGTGTTCCAGTGGTTAAGACTTCTCTAAGACTGCACTGCAGGGGTCATGGGTTTGATCCCAGGTTGGGGAACTAAGATTCCACATGCCTCAAGGCCAAAAAAAGTGCACATACTCAGACTTCACTCCAAGCCTGCTGTGTCAGAACCCCTGGGAATGGGGTCTGGAGATCTGTGTTTTAACATCCCCTTCCCCAGTGATTCTGCTGTGCGAAGCATGGCAACTGCTGCTCCAGAGTTTAATGTTAAAAAACCAGACCACACCCAGGCACTCCAGGCTGCATAATGGGCATTACCTGCATACAGCACAGAAGAACTTTCCACATCTGAACCGAGATGATTAGCTACAGCACATCCATATGTTCCTTGGTCTTTCTTTGTAGGTTTCCGTATCTGTATTTTCCCCATTCCATCCAAAATGACTCTGTAGAACAGTTAGAAAGAGGATGTGTTCATGTGACACAATGAACTACTTGAGAACCACAGCGACCCAAAGAGAATGAAGACATTGACTTTCAGCTGGCAAGCATCCAGAAAATAATCTTGTCAAGCTTCCTGCCTATAAGCAGACCACTATGTAGACTGGAACTGGAGGAGGGAATGGCAACCCACTCCAGTACTCTTGCCTGGGAAACTCCATAGATAGAGGAACGTGGCAGGCTACAGTCTATGGGGTCGCAAAGAGTCAGATACAACTTAGCGACTAAACATTAACATACAGACTGGAGGGTGGAAAAGTCACTCTTTTTGGCTGAAACTCATTGAGACGGTAGAGCTGGACTATGCTCAGAGATCCAGACTTCCTATCTCACTCTGCATGAGAACAGACTCTTCCGGATGGACTCAATGCTTAATTTACCATGTTTTAAAAAAGAAACTAGTGTTAGTTTGCTGGAGGTTAAGCCTGCATTTTCTGCCCTGAGCCTTTCTAACAGACTACAGATGTGAATTTTTCAGTTCAGATTTTCACGCTGGAAGTGAGTGGACCTTTAGTTACTGCACCCTGGCAATGGTTATTTTCTCATGGTCTGAAAAGCTCAGTGGAAGTAACAAAGCTACTGCTGCATTGTATTGGGCTTTGAGCATGCTGTTAAGAATCAGGGCTACACTGCGTGAACCCCTTATGGTTTCCCAATTATTGACATTCCCAAACATCTGCATGTAAATAACACTTAGAAAATCAGAGCTGGCCAAGAGTATCCTCACAGGCGAGATACTGATTCAGGGGATGGGAAAGAATACTTGTTTCACTTGAATTTTAATTTTTTCTTATTGATTTGAAGTTGCTAATAGATTATCTGGATCAGCAGTCCATATACTATTTTTTCACCTGCCTTCTTCCCATTTTACAGATCTTAGCAACGTGGATCGTTCTGTTGTTGTTGTTCAGTTGCCCAGCCATGTCCAACTCTTTGCGACCCCATGGACTGCAGCACGCCATGCCTCCCTGTCCCTCTCAGAGATGGCCCAAATTCATGTTCATTGCATCGGTGATCCCGTCCAGCCATCTCATCCTCTAATGCCCTCTTCTCCTTCTGCCCTGCATCTTTTCTAGCATCAGTCCTTCCAGTGAATATTCAGGGTTCGTATCCCTTAAGATTGACTGGTTTGATCTCTTTGCTATCCAAGGGACTTTCAGAAATCTTCTCCAGCACCACAGTTCAAAGGCATCAATTCTTTGGGGTTTTGCCTTCTTTACTTCTGCCTTATTTACAGTCCAGCTTTCACAACCGTACATGACCACAGGGAAGACCAAAGCCTTGACTATACAGACCTTTGTCAGCAGAGTAATAATGTCTCTGCTTTTCAACACACTNTCTCTATAATCCAGCGAATGCTGGCAATTTTACCTCTAGTTCCTCTTCCTTTCCTAAACCCAGCATGGACATCTGGAAGTTCTTGGTTTGCCTAATGCTGAAGTCTAGCATGCAAGATTTTAAGCATGACTGACTGTTTTGACCAACTGCTAAATACTCTATGTTTCTTCATGAACTAAACTGGGCCACTTCATTTCCTGTCACTTTACATTGCTTGCTTACCCTCTGCTGTAGCCATAAAGAACCTCTAACAATTTCCAGAACATTCCATGGTCTTTCATCACCCTGAGCTTTTGCATAAGTTGTTCACTCTATTTGGAATGCCCTTCCCCACTTTTGGCAACTCTGACTTACCCACTGAGTCCTGGAGCAAATGTAATTTCCCTTGTAAAGCTTTCGCCAATACTCCTAGAGTTATCTCCTGCCCCCTCTGGGCTCCTTCTGGTTTGGTTCATATATTTATTTGATGAAATATCTTTTTATTCTCATGAGATTGTGATATTTTCAAAAGCAGGGACCAGATTTTATTCACAGCTGTGCATTTTCAATGTCTAGCACAGTACCTTTTATATGGCAAGTTTTCAAAAACATTTAATGACTCAGTGTATGAATGACTAGAATAGAGCAGAATAATAGTAGAGAATCAATATACTAGAGAATGCAAGCTCCCCTGCAACCCACAAATGAAGTATACAAAGGTGGGAAGAGACCAAAACAGCTGGATTGCCCAGAACAAAAACAGGAATAAGGCAGAGGTAGCTGTGACCAGGGCTAGGCTCTCACTGTCAAATCCCTGTTAATGAACAGTTGATTAAGAAAAAAAGTAAAACTAATAACTCTACATGACAAATGTTTATGCATGAAAATCTTTTCTTAAATTATTTCATGTGTATGTTTGTATGATTTAGCAATTCTCAGAGGATTCCTTTGTTTCAGTGGTCTCAGGTTTACAGTACAGTAGGAAGTCACAGAGAAATAGCTGAGTACACATGAACCTTCCCGCCAGGTGATGTCACCCAGGATCCAGGCTGGACCAGTCCCTGGGCTGGAGAACCAGAAGGTGTAGTTCTTTAAGGAATCTGATCTTGACCTCCACCACAAAATCTTATTCTTTACTTGAAGAGATAATGAAGCTGATCTCTCCACAGACATCACCCCCAGGGAATCCACCCACAGCCTTTGCTTCCTAGCTGTGATCTCTTACTCAGCTGGCATCCAAACACACTCCACGCCTACACTGTTGCCTCCTATTGGAGACGGGCGCTTGGAAACATCATTCCATTTCTGCATGACTTCAGTTGAAAAGATTTGTGAAAGTCAGAAAAATATATCTAAACTCGAGAACTTTTCTTGCATAAAGAAATGTAAACATAAGTTGAAAAAATTAATTAGGTGTATTGGAGAAAGAATGGAAATAAAAATAGATCTTTTAAAAATTCCCTTAAAATATTAAAAACAAAAACTCTTACTAGCCAACTAGGACTGCTTCAGTGTCAAATGGCTGGTCCTTAAAGTATGCAGAAACAGGTCTGATTTAGGATGGCAGAATCTTTATGGGATCTTCAGGAGCCTCAGCCACAGAAACTAATGCAAATTCCACTTGAGCAATTCAGATGATCACAAATCAACTCAGTTCATCAAACACTGACTTGAACTAACCACGGTCTTCTACCACATCCCTCTAGTACTTTATGGCCACAAATCAGCTGATCAACTTTCTCGGCCTCTGTTTCTCATAGTTTCTTTTTTTTTTTTTTTTAAATAAACTTTATTTTGGAATGATGTTGGCATTACAGAAAAGCAACAAAGATAGTACAGAGGGTTCTTATCTCCTTTTTTCTTGGTTTTCCCTGATGTGAACATCTTCAGCATGTGATACTTCAGTATGTGATCAAAACTAAGGCACCAGCATTGGTCCATCACTGTTGTTAACAAAACTTCAGTCTTTATGTAGATTTCATTAGTTTTCCCACTAATGTTCTTATCCTGTTGCACAGTCTCCCATTCAGGACATCGTATTGTATTTAGATATTATGTCTCCTTAGTCTCCAGAAGGTCTGTGACAATTTTTCTGTCTTCCCCCAACCCTTTCCCTTTTTTTGAGGACTTTGACAGTTTTGAGGACTACTGATAATAATAGAATGTTCCTCAATTTGGGTTTGACTAATGTTCCTTATAATTTCTAAAGTGAAATTGTTGAGCAGTCCTGAAAGGGTGGTCCTTGGATCCCAGGGGTCTGTGAGGTCAAAACTATTTTCATAATAGTAAATATTGATACTATACCATTATTTGCCTTTTTCACTGTGAGTGTTGACATTTGCACTGATAGTAAAGGCAGTTGTGGATAAAACTTGGCACCAGAATGGAATCAAAGCTATGGCAGCAAGGTGTACCAGTAGTCACTGTATTCTGGCTACCACACACTTGCAATAAAAACAAAATGCCAATTTCCCACAAGAATGTCCTTAACGAAGCAGTAGAACTTATTATTTCACTAAATCTCTACCCCTGAGTGTAACTTTTCTAACATTCTGTACAACAAAACAGGAAATACACACCATACATCTGCTATCTGCCAAAGTCTGTGGGTGTGACTGTTTGAATTGCTAGCTGAACTAGCTCATTTTTCATGGCATACTACTTTACTTGAAATAATGACTGACAGATAAGCCAGGGTTATTTGGATTTAAGTATTTAGAAGTTATATTTTTTTAGTGAAAAAAAATGAGCTGGCCAATGCAAGGAAAATAACTGACAGTAATTGTTGCCGATCATAAAATTTAAGCTTTCGAGTGAAAATTAGAATTTGAGAAAATCAGTCATGCCCACCATGAGTCTGACTGCTTTCAAAAGCTCAAAGACTTTTCTGAAAAGTTGGGATAGTAATATCAAAGAATACATGTATTTTTGGTATTGTATAATGAAACGTGTTAACATTTGGAAGATGTGTATAACTCAGTCAGCCAACATTTTCCAAATGACCAATGTATGACATTATAAAATCTAGTCTAGTTAAAAGACTCATTCAAAGAACAAGATAAAGCAACAGATTTCATTGTAACAGACTACCAAAATCTCCTTAACATGGTTTTAGATTCCACATTCCATCTAACCTTTAAGAAACTACCGCTTGTCTATTTTTAGTGTAGCATTAAAGAAGAATAGCCATAATTACCTTAAAAGATTATGAATATATTCCTTCTCCTCCCAACTAACCTATCTATATATGTATGAAGCCCAATTTTCTCCATAAACTTCAATTAAAACAACATATGGCAACAGACTGAAGGTAGAAGCATTGAGGAGAAAACCCAGCTATGTTTTATTAAGCCAGACATGAAAGAGATTTGCCAAGATGTAAAACAATGTCATTATCATTAATCTTTAAAATACTGCTTTTCAAAAATTATGTTATTTACATGAACATGAATTGGGCTTACTACTATTACTTCTAAATGGATTAACAAACAGCTATTTAAAATGTTTCATGGTTTTAATTTCTAACAGCGTAAACATCATGAGATATATTAACATATTGACATAAAGTTAATTCATATTAACAAAAGTTCTTTGGCTTCTCATCATTTTTTAAGTTTGAAGGAGTCCTAAAACCAAAAGATTTGAGAACTGCTAAGTAGTTGATCTGGAAGGTTTATTCCACTTCAAAAACTACATTATACTCTAATATTCAGAGTTCTAGTCAAAAAAATTAAAAATTAGATTTGTTCTATCTTTCCATTCTAAGACAGCCCAATGATTCATTATAAAAATTGAATTTTACCTAGATTTCTTTTAGTGCTTCACACATTAGGCGATGCAGAAAAAAAGGATGATAAAAATAAAACTTGTATTTTTAAAGTACCTTATGGTTTGCAAAACAATTTAACATCTATGTCTCTTAACAATCCCTGGAGGTGGAATAAGGAGCTGTTGAATGCGAAATGAAAGAAAGCAAGATGTCTACAGTCCTGGGTATGTTAACAGCAAGATTTGGAGACAGCAGAGAACACAAAATGAGTGAATGTTTCTGTTATTCCGTTATTTATGTAAAATGAATGAAGTGTGACATTTTTCACTGACATGGATAGCTATTACAATAAAATAAGGTGACTGAATATTGTACTTCAAATATCTCAAAAAACTTTGATCCTTATCATCTTACTTTTGGATTTTGTGACATAAATCATTGCCTGATATTAGAAAATGACTTCAGGTAATCTTTCTACCAAAGCTATTATTTGTGTGACTCTCTAACATCCCTGGCGGGGTCCAGAAGACGTGGCCCCTGGTTCTCACTGGCCATGAATTAGTCATGAGATTCTGTTCCTCAATGATTTCATTGAGAAAGTGTCAACTCCTGCCCTGCCAGACTCATGGGGCTGGTGTGAGTTCAAACAAGACACCACATCTCCCAGATATAGAAGATTCTTGCAGTTCCTGCACATTTTAGGAGAATTGCAAATATGTTTTTTTAATGGCCTGATTGATTTCACTTTTTTGGAGGCATGATTTTTTAATTTTTTGGCTGCACCATGCAACATGTGGGATTTTAGTTCCCAACCAGGGATCAAACCTGCATCCCCTGCATTGGAAGCACAGAGTCTGAACCACTGGACCATCAGGGACGTCCCTAATTTTATTTTTAAATGTTAAGTGACCTGCAAAGAGAGAGTCTGTAGTTGCTAACATTTAATCTTATGGTATCTAGTTTTGTACCACCTTTATGGTAGTGACTGTGATGGTACAATTTCATTTTGAGAATTCCAATGCATATGTGAATGCCATGCCCCAACATTTTGGAGCTTCTTTCCAAAAGGATCCTGTTGGAAGCACATTCTTAGGAGAAGGAATTTGACAATATTTTAAGGAAAGCTGGAATATCCATTTAGAAGGCATCTCAGAGTAAACACTGTCCTCTGGCTGTACTTACCTTTCTGAGGGCTGTAACAGTGCTCCATCCTTGGTCCACGTATAGGTGGCCTCACTGGGGGTGACAAGCTCACACAGTATGTTGATGGCCTCCGTCCTTCTTGTAATGTAGACTGTATTTCCAATCCTTGAATTTACTGTTTTATTAAAGGAAATTGAGGTGGGTTGGCTCTGCCTCAAGAGGACAGGTCCCTTCGGCTTGAATGTCAGCTTGCCTGAGTTTTTGGAGTTCGAGCTTTGGGGCACACTTCCAGTCTCCCCCCTTAGCTGAGCCGTGGGAAGTGCCTCTCCAGGGATGCCCCTCCAGTGCGCATGTGCAGGCTGCCCCTTGGTTAACTCGGCCACCAGCTGATATATCACCTGGGATGCCAGGTCATCGCTGATCTCCCCTGTTTCCATGAGCTGGCTCATGTTCCTGATCAATTCATCAAACTGGGCGGTCTCCATGCTATAGGCTCCCTGTTTAACTGCTGCTTCAAACTGCTTGTTCTCAAATTCCCAGGAGTTGGCATTTCCTGCAGAAGGGCTGCAGTGGCCCAACAGAGCTCTCAAGAGAGACTGATTGTTAATTTGGCCATTGTGCAGATAAAGCTCATTTTTGTTGTTCCACATCAGCCTCATCTTATGCCATGTGGCTCCGAGATTACTGGCCTCGTTGTTGTCCATCCTAGGATATTCCCTGGTGTGCCCTCCAAGGGCTGGGGGTGCAATGAGCCGGTTGTCGGTACCAATGAGCTTAAGCACCACGGTCTCCTGTGCGGGGCCGGCGATGCACCGGTACTCACCAATGTCGAGGGCTGCAAGGCTGTGAATCTTCAGTGAGCCTGACTTTGTGAAGCCAAGTCGCTTGGAGTTCTGCAGACAACGCCCGTCCTTCTCCCACTGTATCCGAGATTTCTGGAATCGTCGCACGGGGCACTTAATGATCACAGATGTGTTGGGCAGCAGATAGGCTCTGCTCCCGACGGTCAAGTTAATGCGTTTCTCTTCCCTTGTCTGGATGTAGACTCTCTGGACACCAAGGATCTGAGGACCCTGCTCCCCGAGTCTGGCCTTCATCTCTGGTTTCATTTCTGTTGGAAAAATAAAGAAAGCAAAATACAAATATCTTTATAATGACAACATTTGTCCATTCTCTTCCAAGGCTGACAGAAATCAGCAAATTCTTTTCACTTTCAAAACATTTGAGAACTAAAAAAAAAAGATATATATATATATTGTTATTTATGCTATATATGTATGTGTGTGCATATATATATATGTATATATATATACACACACATATTCATAGATGGGGACAAATTTCACTTTAGCAGCAAATAATGCAAGTTTGAATGAATTGCATGAAATAATGTCAATTATTTTATAAAGGAAGCTTTGGTTTGGGGAGGCATGAGGTTAAATGGTTAAATATTTCCATCAATAAGAGGACATCTGATGTGTGGGGCCTCCACCATCTGGGAGGCTCTTGAGGATCTAGTATGGCTCAGCCAAGGGTATCCAAAATCTGAAGGAGGCAGTGAGTGTGGGGAGGTGAGTGAATGTATTTGAAGGATCTGAAAAGGAGGATGCAGCTGGGGACCATAGCAGATCACCCAAGCAGGCCAGTGAAACTAGCATGGGGGCCTGAAGAAGCCAGTGATGGAAGAAGAAAAGTTCAAACTGGCACTTGAAAGCCAGCTGAATGGTGAGAGAGAATCTCAGCACTACCATCTGAATAAGTGATCTACTCTCCCCGAGCCTCAGCTATGTTTTCTCACCTATAACATGCAGGTGATGTTAACAGAGGAATGTGAAAAGCCAGAGCATCTTTATCAAGTGCACAGTAGTGGGATGTATGAGCTCTCAGACATTGTTGTCAGCTGACAAAGGCGGGTCCAGCCAGCATCAACGGGGCAAGCAGAGAGGGATCACAGGTGGGCTGACTCTTCCTTGTTCCTGGGCACCAGCCACAGGTAATGGGTGGAGGCCAGAGAGGTTGCTCCCCAGATCCCATCCCGCAAAAGGAGCGGCTCTTCTCCCTCCCCCACTCCCTCTGCCCACCCCCCAACCACTCACTTTCAGGAAGGAAGGCCTCAATGCATCCTGGGGTGATACTGAAGTGAGTAGGTAGGGGGATGTGATGTGGGTGGGAGTCTGATTCCTCTTTGAAGATGTATGTAGGTCCATGGACTAGAGGGCAGGAAGCATCAGGGAGTGACAGAAGAGAGATTGGACTCACATCAATGACACTGTGGAATTAAGGTCGTGAGACAGGGGCCTAAGAGCCTCAGAGGACCCCAGTTATGGTTCTTCCAGCGGTTACGGCTGTAACACTGGTAGGGATATGCTGGGAGAAGAACTAGATCGAGACTCCATTTCTGTTTTTGTCTTTGAAACTTTTTGGCCTTGCTGCACAGCATGTGGGATCTTAGTTCCCTGACCAGGGATCAAACCTGCACCCCCTGAAATGGAAGTGTGGGGTCTTAATCGCTAGACCACCAGAGGGAAGTCCACTTAAGACGGACTTCTCAGGCCCTGGACACTACCCAGATTGTGTTTGTTGAAATAACTCTTGACTTCACTTGGGTGGTTCATGATCCCATTAGGGTCTGGCTGCTGCCTGCTTAGGTGTGGGGGTGGCAATAGGTTCAGAAAAACAACAGGGGTAGATGCATAACTTCTGCATTAGAGTGTGTTCTAAATGAGGGACAGGCATAATAAGTCTGCACACAAATTCCACTGAGATGTCATTTCTAGGCCAGGCCCCTTGTCCAAGGTTTTGCCAATGAACTCTCCCTCCCCTCGGATCAGCTTGAAGTGGAGCCAGATGGCCTGTCATGTGTAAATGTTTACCTGTTGGGATAGAGATTCTTCACAGAGGACATCAAGATCCCCTCAGTAAGTTAAGACATAGAGATTTCTTTCTAGGTTGGCAACACAGAATTTTAAACTTACTGCTGTTCAACAGTGGTCAAAAGCAGGAGGAGGGTTCCTGCTAAATTTGTGGTTCACTCATTATTACAGGCAGAGATGCCATCTTTTTTTTTTTTTTTAAGCAAACACCTTGGTCACAAAGAATCGGACATGACTGAGGTACTAACACTTTCATTTGCAAACACTGGGCTTTGCCGGTGGCTCTAGTGGTAAAGAATCTGCGTGCAATGCAGGAGACATGGGTTGATCCTTGCAGGAGATCCTTGGGTTGGAAAGGTCCCCTGGAGAAGGACATGGCAACCCAGCATTCTTGCCTGGGAAATCCCATGAACAGAGGAGCCTGGTGGGCTATAGTCCATTGGGTCGCAGGGTCGGACACGATTTGGCAACTAAACAATATTTATTTGGCTGCACTGGGTCTTAGTTGACACATGTAGGATCTTCAGTTGTGGCATGTGGGATCTAGTGCCCTGACCAGGGATGAAACCCAGGCCCCCCGCATTGGAAGCATGGGGTCTTAGCCACTAGACCACCAGGGAAGTCCCAGAGATGCCACTCATAACAGCAGTCTGCACAACAAGGGCTCAATCCATTGCAACAGATGGCGGCTATAGCCCTATACCAGGTCTTGCTGTAACAATGCTGCTCCGAGTGTCTCCTCTCCCGACAGTGTACATTATGAGGAAGTTGGACCACTCGCAGCAGAAGAGCCCAAGCAGCTGGGAGACAGTCCTGGGGTTCAGGCCAAGGCTATTGACTAACCACCTGGGAGTATTTCTCTACTTTCCCAACTTGTATAGACTCGCAAAGAGTCAGACATGACTTAGCAACTGAACAACAATAACACAGACATACTGGTGTGTAAGAGTTTCAGTATCAACTCTGACTAGAGGCAGTGGTTCTCAAACTTTGCTGCCAATTAGGAGCACCTGCTGTTATTATTTTTTAATTTTACTACCCTGGGTCCCACTCTCCAGAAATTCTGACTTATGGGGAACAGAAGCCTGGGCATCAAAATTTGTAAAATCTCCCCAGGAGACTGAAATGTAGAGCAAAGATTGAGAACCACCACCCTAGAGAGTCTCACTGGGTTAACTCAAAGATAATGTGATGGGCTGCTACTAGTGAACAGGGAAGGGAAAATAAGAAACAGCCACTGTGTTTTCTGTGAGAACCCTGCCAAAATCTTTACAACATGCAGTGTCCTCTGTAGGAGGAAGCAGGAGGATGCTTTGTGGTCTTACCATCAGGAATCCTTGTATTTCCTCTGAGTAATTAATTCATTTCCTACCCAACGAACACTGAACTGTGTCATTGACCAGGTTGCCTTTTCCAAGACAGCACTTATGTTATCAAGTTTAGAGCTAAATTTATGCCTGCATATGACAGAAGTGTAAAATTTAAGACAAAATTCTATATTAGTCTTGCTTATTTCCTGTTTTATTAGCATGGGTAACTCGGAGGGGAAAGAATCTGCCTGCAATGCAGAAAGCCTGGGTTTGATCCCTGGGTCAGGAGGATCCCCGGAGAAGGGAATGGCAAACTACTCCAGTATTCTTGCCTGAGAATCCCATGGACAGAGGAGCCTAGTGGGCTAAGGTCCATGGGGTCACAAACAGTCAGCCACAACTGAGTGACTAACACTCATTAATTTTAATTAGCTGGTTGCTTTTTATGAATATTTAAAAGTGGCCTATTGTCACAATGCAGGGTGTGTAATGTATGTGTATACACACATACCTAGCCATAATACCTACATACATGTATTTACATACACTGATACTTATACAGGCATCTTTTTATTACTATTTAAAAGAATTCAGTTGAACACCCCGTCTGGTCATTGTTCCTCCATGATGGATTATGGGAAAGACAGATGGTGAACGTGGATGGCTTTGAAAGTCACTCTTTAAATCATAGTTTAAGCTGGGTCAAAGTCAGAATTTTGAACTTGGGCAACTGAGGGAGGGGTGGAGAGAGACTCTCTTAGGGCTGCTACAGATGAGGCCATCACTCGAATATTCCTGCTTGTACTGGGAAGGGGTCGAAGCCCGCACGGGGAAGGAAGTGCATTCCTAGTTCAGGGTTCAGGCTGGAGATGATCTGCGGCTGGTATGAGCCCACACCGCATCCTGTGTGAAGATGGGTTCTAGTTACCATGGAGATGAGTTCTAAGTACCTTTAGAACTGGTAGCCAGATGTCCCCAGCTAAGCTTGGGGCTTAAAGTATTAATAGATGGGGCCATGATGCCTTCAAAAGCAGGCTGGGGAGTCTGCAGGTGACAGGTGGTGTTTAGCCTTGGGAAAGGACTGGCCCATGGCTGGGTGAGCCACACAAGTAGCCCGGCTGCTCCCTCTGGCTGCATGCCCATCTGCTAGAAGGCAGATCCATTCCCAACCAGGCCTGGTTAGCCACTGCTCACACCTGCTACAGAGCAATTCAGTGACCAGGTGTGCCTCGGCAGTGCTCTGGGACCCAGGAACTGCTAGGACTTGGCCAGTTTCTCTCTGTGACTCCTGTCAGTTCCTTCGGAGCAGTGCCTGGAGCCTGGCATCCTCTGACACAGCTCTTGGGCAGGAATCTGTCTGGTTTGGAGTGACTGCCTTCCTCTGCATTTCTATGTGCCCCCAAACTGCCAAACCAAACAAGCCTGAGGAGACAGAGTGTGGACAGGAACCCATGGCACCCTACTGGGGGGCTGTGGGCAGTGTGGGGATACCAAGCCGTCCCTCCATCTCTCCCATGGCACTGGATGTGAGAAACACCACATCATTCAGCTTTTCTAGAAAATGAAAAGCTCTTCCTTCTGAAGGTCCTCTTTCCGGCCTCTGTGCCAGGCTTTCCTGCCCCGTGCCCAAGGCTGTCTGCATGCCCGTGTCCTGCCATGATTCAGTTGTAAACCTGCCATGACTCTCAGCCTAGTGCCACACCAGGTTTCTGCCCCGAGCCATCTGTTCTGGGTGTTTACACTTGCCTCACCAGCACTCGACTCCTGCCACTCCCAGATGGGCTTTGGCTGCAAAGCAGCCTCTAAGTCGTCTTATTCCCATGCTGGAGTCCTGGCCCTCAGAGTCCAGCCTGCAATTCTTTAAGGCAGAAACTGGAGTTGCCTCGATTCCTCCCTGTCCATTGGTCTGCTGGCCCTTCCTCTCATTG